GTTTGTATGTGTTTGGTTTTTACACACTGATTGATTGTTCACCAGCCATTGTTTTCAAGATGTTATTAATGTTCTATGAGACTTATGCAGTAATCTGGTTATTTTCATTAATGTTTTCAATTAATATTTGATCTTGAAATAACAAGTGGGAAGTAATACACACAGATTGTCTTCTGCTTTTAGAGAAACTGAACACATAAATGTTACATGATGCTGCATTTGCAAAGCTTGAAGCACTAAGACCTATATTTTATTTATAGTATAAGCTTTGTATTCTGAGTAAGATACAGTGTTCTCCATCTGCAGCGCTCTAGTTGTAACTAATCCTAGTCAAGTCAGTCTTTTTCACTGTCAAAAGCAAACCTTCATAAAACAATTAATTCTTTTTTCATCTTTGTAGAATTTTCAGAACAGATGCCTAATTTAAATTCCAGTGTGAGGCTGTGTTTAAAAAATGAGAGCAGTAGTACTATATGCCACAAACATTATCTTGTTTCTTCTCATATCATACTGAAAACAGCAAGATAATCAAGAGAAGATAAAATAAACACACTTCCTGGGAACTGAAGACCTGATTGTAGGATCAATGGTAAATTTAGCTTCAGTTCCAAATAGGTCCAAAAAGCAAAAAAAATGTTCCAAACTCAATCTGTTTTCCGTGTCTCTTCTATACAAAAGCTTGCTCAGTTGTAGAGTCATGTGCTGGACTTCTTGGGGTAGGTGGGGCTACTTCTAGAATGTTAATGGGCTACTTATCAAATTTAGCAATGCCCCAGTCTGGGATTAAATGAAATATTGAAAATGAGCATGATTACATTCTTCCAATGGAATAGCACCTGTTAAAAGGCAAGGGGAAAGCCAAACCTCATTATTAATAGAAGGAGAGTGATGAGAAAGTGAAGGACATGTTGCCATGGCTGCTAACCCACTACCCAGTGGGGAGACAAAATAGAGCAAGAGCTATAAGATATAATAGGAATTTCCCAAGTCCTGCTGTGCTGCCTCATTGTGGTGGACGGATGCATGAAGCATATTGGGAGTGTACACCAAGAGTGTATAATCCCAGTAGGGTCATCCATGGTGTGAAGGTCATCTCAGCTGCTAAAGCAAACAGGCACCTATATTGGGTGGCAATGATATCAGCAAAGGCATCATTTCATACTGTGCAAAAGAAGATAATGGCAAACCACTCCTATATTTTCCAATAACATTACATCGATCAACAAGATACAGTGACTGTTGATATAGTGCTGGATGATGGGCCCGTCATATCCGAGGGAAATCAAAATACGAATAAGGAAGAGCTGAAGATCTTTCAGAGAACTAATGGCTTTATGGTGCAGATTAAAGCCTTCCAGATGTCTAGTTGCTGATGTTACACTCAGGAAAAGAAAATCCAAAGCTGTAAAGACAGAATTACAGTGGGAATATGGAACAGAAGAAGCATGATCATGGGACAACTTAGTACAGTGAAAGATTAAATGAATCAACTACAGGTTGACATTTTGGGCATCAGCAAATTGAAATGGACTGCAATTGGACACTTTCCATCAGAAGATCACACTGTTCAGTACTCAGGACATGAAAAACAAAGAAGGGATGGCACTGCTTTTATAAGAAGGTTATAGTAATAGTGCAATCAATGATTGAATAATATCATTGAAGTTTGTGGATAACCCTTTAATATTCTGTTTATTCAAGTTGATGCTCCAACCACTGATGCAAAAGAAGAGGAATTTGATTAGTTTTATGGTTGGTTTCAATCTGAAACCAATAGAACATGCAACTATGTGCTGTTGGTGGTTGGAGACTGGAATGCCAATAATGGAAACAGTAAGGAGAAAACTGTAGTTGAACTACATGGCTGAGGAAACAGTGATGAAACGGAATAATGGCTTGCCAGTGTCTTCCAATCCAATCTTGTTTCATTGCTAACGTAGTCTTCAAATGACTGAAACAATGTCTAGATACATGGTGGAACACACAGAAATCAAATTGATACAAGGTGGTGGGAGAATTCAGTTATAAAGTAATGGCAAAGATGTAGCCATGAACTGCATGTGTAACAGACCACAAACTGCTCATATGTTGGGTCCAAGTGAATTTAAAGTGGAAGCATATAGCCAACTAGTTTCAACAATATGATCTTGAATATATACCCATCATTTTCAAGGACAACATCAGGAATTGCTTTGAAATCCTGAATCACATTGATAGGGCAGCAGAGGAACTGTGAAATGGAATCATAGAAATTGTTAAGGATGAAAGTGAAAAAAGACTGTCAAAGACCAAAAACAGAAGAAGGCAAACTGTGTTCTGGTTCAGATGCAGTTGAACTATTTTTCTTTGCTTTGTTCTGACTGCATCTTTCAGAGAATCTTCTGTCCTGTACCGTATGGGTGTGATAGATTGATACTTGTTCAGTGTATATGTTATGATAAGGAGGTACTGCATTCATCAGTATCTGAAAAAATGATGATGATGACGATAATGATAATATGGATTAAGTATGTGATGAACATAGACACATTACAATAAAAGTTGTATACGCGGATATATATTATGTCCATTTTTAAGGATTTCAAAGCTATTTCAGGATAAATATATACTGTTTTATCCTGATGGGTATGAATTTTAGCCTGTTGTACCATGAGCAATGAGCTGTGTATGTAACCTTTGTATGTTGCTATATTGCAAAATGGGATTCAATATTAATATACACAAATGTTGCAAATTTGATGATTTTTATGAAAATACTTGTAATACTGCACTAAATCAAGGTGGGCTTCTTAACCAATTTCAGTGGGAAAGATTTAAGATACCTTGTAAAAGGACCACAAATATAAATTATTTTTTAACAATGCATTCATGTCTATCCAGAACTCCATTGAGTCACATAGGATCTACATCCAGATCTATAGGATTGCAGGAGAACTGTGGGGACAGGGTTCATATTAACCAGTGCAGGAGGTGTGTGGTGGGGTGACTTTTCCTTTCACTCCCAAGAGGCATATCCAGGGAATGAAAAGACTATGGATCTGGAGATCCAAATCTTCCACTGATTTGCCTCTGACTTGTTTTTCCAACCAGTATTGGTGTTGTAGCAAAGATGATAGTGGAATTTTTTCTTGTAATAAGAGGTTTCCAGAGGCAGAGTTTTCTTTTCCACACTCTACCTTCCATTCCAATGGTCCCTGTGGCCCCTGAGTTTCTATTTTGTGAAGTTTAGGATCTTGCTGGTGTCAGATATTTTTATCAGGTCTCTGAGACTATTAGTTTACCTTACTTGCAAAAATTCCTGAATGAGGTTAAACGTTCTTTTAAAAAAAGGAAAACATGGTTCATTATTTTAAATTAATATGAGTGTAAACTATAATTGTGTTAGTTTCTTGAAGCTAACAGTAGATGAGTAGTGAATGATTTTGTGCAATTTAATTGTGTTACTATATATTATCAGCTTTTTCTTCTGTTACAAAGGGTGTCATTCAAGATGCGAAAGTCATCTTTATGCCTAACGGATATATAACTCAGTGTCCTAATCTGAATCGCAGTAAGTAACAATCTATATTAGTGAAATGTAGTTATGTTTATAGTGTTTAATATAGTGTATTTTACAAACTTAATTCATTGTTGTTCAAGAATGTGATAATCCCAGTTTATGGATGAGGACTATGCATTTTTTCAGTTCAAGTCAAGATAGTACATATGATAAAGGTTGCATATATTTTATGAAGTGATATTGTTCTTTCTTGCCCATCCCTAACTCTAAAGAAATCATTAGTTGTATTCATTGGGAGGAGGGGCATCACCTAAATTCATTTATGTTTTTAGGAAATTGCTGTATCACAATGTTTGAGAATCCATGTGTATGCCATTCTGCAACCAGTCTTCACCACATTGCTAACATAGATTGTAATTCATTTTCAGTCCTTTTCCATCCTCTTTTCCCCCTTCCTCCTCCTTTCTTCTGAAGATAGGGCATTGTCTTTTTCAGAATATAGATAACAAGTGGCTATAGGAGAATATAGCTCCTAGACTCAGTACTCCCTTATAATATGCGCATTTTATATAAAAACATGAATATTTATTTTCTAAATTGATCTTATCATAAAGTTGAATTATGGCTTCCTAGACAATTGTTTTCCTTCTTTTTCCACATATTGCTGCCTTTTTTCTGCCTTTAGGCAGGAGAGTTATCAGAATTCTTAACATGCAGAACTAGGATGCTCTTACATGGTGATTGTATTATGCAGTTTATTCATAGTTTACAAACATTCAGTCAAAGTAATTTGGAATCTTGGAAAGGAATCTGGAGAAGTGCTGGACTCCCCTGCACTGGGTATGTTCAAACAGAAGTATTAGGGAATTCTTTAATTTGGGTTCTGCACTGAGCAAGTAATTGGACTTGATATTTTTATTTATTTATTTAGCAAATTTATATAGCTGCCCATCTCACAAAAAGTGACTCTGGGTGGTGTACAACAGTTAAATAGAACATTAAACATTAAAAACAAGCATTATTAAAAATATAGAATAATCCATTATTAAAAATACAAACCATCAGACACAGGAGAGAGTAATATTAACAATGGCAGAGTCATCTTAAAACGCCACCAGTCTCCTGGGACGCCCAGGCCTGCTGACACAGCCAGGTCTTGAGGGACTTGTGGAACAATAACAAGGATGGAGCTAACCTCATTTCAGGGTGGGGGGGGAGGAGGGGGAATGTTCCATAAGGTGGGCACCATGGCAGAGAAGGCCCACCTCCTAGACCCCGCAAGTGTAAGACCCTAGCAGACAGGACCCGAAGCATACCGTCTCTGCCAGATCTGATGGGTTGGGGAGATGTAATTTGGGAGAGGCAGTCCCTCAGATAAACCAGCCCCATGCCATGTAGGGTTTTAAAGGTCAAAACCAGCACCTTGAAATGGACCCAGAAGCAGACTGGCAATCAATGCAGCTCATGGAGCAGAGGCATGACATGTGCTGTTCTAAATGGGGCTTTCCAAGTTTGCAATTCTATATTTCTAAAAATAACAAATATTTTAATGTGTTTTTATATGGTATTCCCAAGTGTTTATTTTCATAAAGGGAAGCCATTTAGTATTAAAACTTTATTTGCAAATTTTAAAATTTTTAAATCAAGCCATTAGTAACCAGTGATTCTAAAGTTTTTATAATAATATGTTAGTAACAATAATAGATGTCTCCATTAATTTAGTCCTGTGGCTGATTTATGGCATAGGGAATTTTTATGACTACCTGCCATTTTTTCTACAAAAGACTTCCTATAGTGAGGAATGAATAAAGGGAAAGAGTATCCATGCTGTCATGAAAAAGATAAATATCTGCTGTTCTGACTCAGGTAGAAGCAGAATATCTTGCTTTATCCTGTTGGGATATACATCTCTGTCTCCCTCCCTCCCTCCCTCCCTCTCTCTCATAAATAAATATACTCTTGCCTAGCCTTGTTGGTTAATATTAGAAGGATTCCTTCTAAGATTTAATTCCAGAAATGTTTTCAGTTAGAACCCTAGCCTACTTGTATATGTATCTGTGTGTCTGTGTGTATATCAGCAAATTATAAGTTAAAAGCACACATCTAGATTATTGCAAACAGTACAGACCTAGGGTCCTTTCAGAGACATATGCAGATTTCACAGTCAGCTTCATAATTTTGTCAGTCCAAATGTTCTTCTGGTCCTCAAAATTATAACGATTTCAACTGCATTTCTTCTGCTAACTCATTTCCAAGCAACAGGACAAGAATCGCAATGGCAAATTAGAATTTTCAATTAGAATTGGTTCACTTGCAATTAACAGTGGAAATAAAATGAATACAATGGATATAGAAACTGATTCCCCAATTTTTGCAATTTAACTATGGACATCTATCCATTCAGTTTACCTTATTCAAATTGATAGCTACTATATGGTTATTTAATGATTAGTTTTGCAGCAGAAGTACACCAATGTTTTTTTTCCCTTACAAGTCCCTTCTGGAATGAAGACAGTGCCTTTACAGAGCTAAACCAACCAGGAGGCTATGCGTGCTTTTTTTATATCTGGGTGGGTAGGCATGCCAATGCCAGTGATTGCAGGAGCAGCAGTCAGAGGCATTTTATTTATTTATTTATTTATTTATTTATTTATTTATTTATTTATTTATTTATTTATTTGTATTTCTCCCCTTGCCCTATCT